AGTTCAAACATTGGAAAACAGTTAAAAATTTCACGCACCAACGCATGAAAGCTGAATTCGAAATCTTGAAGGGTGAATATCTTTCCATGATTCCCGAGTTAATAGTTTACCTGCCAAAATTTTCACGAGGTCGTAGGTGATACTAAAGAGCGCGGGAACGCTGAATTTGAATGGGCAAGATTGAGCGTGGGCAGAGGGTCATTACCGTAAAATTTCGGACTCCTACACTCCGTGGCTCCCGAGATATTAATTTACCCGTAAAAAACTTTCACGGGGCCATACGCGTTACCCGCGGGTACGAGGGAGCTGAATTTAAATTTGCGGGGTCACACGTAGGTAGGGAACGTCCCCCTAAATTTTCAGCTTCTAGCTTATGTGGTTCCCGAGTTGAAAGTTGCGGACACACACACACACAGACAACTCCGTGACAATATGCGTTTTGTACTGCTGTTACACAGCACAAAACGCAAAAAAATCAGTACAGATGCAATTACACACCTACAAAGAAGTAACCCCTCGATAACATGCGTTTTTGCTTTGCATGGATGCAGAAAAAACGCACAAAAATATAAAATTATTATAAAAAACTGAATGAATAGATATGTTTTTTCCCATCATAGGTATTCGTATCCAGCATCACAGTTGGACCTTGTCAGTGCGTTGAAGTTGATGACTGGTTTGACTCCTTTGAATGGATCACTACTAAGTTACAATCGAAACGAATGGATGATTCGCAGAGAAACTGAAAACTATATGCGAATAGGTGCAGGGTAGGCAGTCGCGATGAATCCTATCGACTCAGTGCAGATGAATACGAAACCGAGGTTCACTATGGCTGAGAAAGTAGCATACTTTTATTTGAGTTGCTGGAATAAAACATAGAAATTTAAAGCAATAAATTTGAAAATTTATCAGGTAATTTTGCGAGTTCATGATGAATTAGACAGCATACAAGCGGATACTGACAGTAGCGAATGCATCTTCTAACTTGGCTTTTGCTTTCCCAGCAACTTCTTGCCCTTTTTGATGATATGCCTCGGCACACATCTAAATATCACACTCTCTACATGACGTGTACAGTTTTGGGAGCATCTTTGATAAGTTTGACAGAACAGGTCGCTTCTGGCACGACTTATTTTGATGAAAGCGAAAAAAATCCTGCTAGTAGCTGTAACTGTGGTAGCAAATCGTGGTACTATCAGGTTTAAAATAAGTGGAAAACGCTAAAACAGTCGCTGTCCGACTCATTCATTCGTTTCGGTGCTCGATTGGTACTGGCATGTAGCTGGCAAGACCACTTTTTAACAGTCAACAAAAGAGTCATCAACAGCATTGGCAGAGGGTTCTGTTGCCAGTATTCTTATGTTCAAATATTACTCCAAGCTTCACCGCATTTGAAAAAAGCGAGAAAGCATCTGTCTACAAGACAGCTTCTTCTAAGTTAGTCAGCTGCTGTTGCGAATGCGCAAGGTGTTGACAACTCGTCCCGATCACTTTCTAAATAAATGGTACTCATAACTAGCGAATGCGGCCCGAATGCAAAGAAGGAGATGATGGTTTCGTACTGTTTTACTCAACCTCTCACGCTACTTCGCCGAGTACCATTCACAGTACTTT